CAGCCCTATCATAACGCATACGGCAATGGGCTTCGTGTCAACGTTTGTTAATGTATATGGTACGGCAAGGGGACAGTGGTCAGTTTCCGCGATTACAACAGCAACTGTCACTGGGTCACTGTTCATTTGCTCTGTGATGCTTTTTCTCATATTCAAGTATGTGTTGTTACAGAGGCTTAAACAAAAACCTTGGACTCCTTTCGAAGAATAAGACAAGCCAAGCTTTGCGAGAGAGCAAAGACAAGAGATGACCCTTTCATGCATCCAAATCGCAATTGTTTTCTTTATCACAGGTAATAAGAGTGTAATAATGCCAATATTTTTATGCCACCCTCAAGTCAATTGTACCATAGTTATAGATAACCGCGAAAAAGAAAAATGGCCATGCGGATCTACTTCGTCAAGCCGGCCTGGAGATTGTGTCCAAGTCACAAATGCGTTTCCAGAGTAACAATCCCTCTAGGAATGTCAAGCTTGTCATAGCTTGCCGATCAAACCTGTAAATCCCGTCTTAAGAATCTAGTCATATACCAGGCGTAAATGAGGCAAATTCTACGTAATTTTCCGTCCAGTACCTCATCTTTCTGCCTATAACGTCGGGCCGATGAGTTTGTGGACCACCGACCAAGCCGCGACTGTAAGTGGCATGACAGGAAGCATGCTTCGAACACAGGACCTTTGCTGAATCTTAAATCTTGCCTCCTGCATCTTGTTTGCTAAATCCCGTCTCCTAAGTCCCGCAACCGGCGCACTCGACACCATTCATATTCGTGGGTTTAGCGCTGTATCAAGAACGCGGCCCAAGCACCGTCCTACCCTAAACGCTCCATAATACAGCCTCTCCACTCACACGCTAGACGCTGTCCTCGCGAAGAGCGGCAAGTCGAATTCACTCAGCCGACAGTCACTGGTCCTCGCAATCAACGACCTATCTTATTCTATATCTGCTATAGGATTTTGACTCTCGGCCATGCTTGGGCTCTCTAGAGTGACCCCTTCTAATGTAATCCAGTTCTTTCCTACCTCAATACGAGATTGATATCCCATTGTCCATACGAGTCCTGAATTACAGTATGACAGAATAGGCCCAGATTCAGAAGTGACTTTTAAAGTGTGTAGCTCGTTGTCCCATAAAGATAATGCCCGAGTTTCGACTCCTCCGATCCAGCCAAGCCTCTTTGCCTGCATTGTAGGGGAGAGTTGCAGTAGAAGTTCATGTTGCGCCGCCTGCATGTTATGACTGGTACAACGAATGTGAACTGCCTCAACATAAGATAACGAGGCATCAAGATGCTCTTGATTGCGTAAGTGCCTGTAAATGCCGGGGGGACATGGTATAAATCGACCGCCAACAAATACAAGCAGTGCTACAATCAGAGGATCCGATTGGAGTTTTGGTTTGGCAAAGAACAGATGATCTAGATCCATGCCAAGCAACAGGAGGTCACTGGCTGATTGGTATTCAATAGAGCAGCGACGTAGTTCCGATACTATGCTTTCTAAATGGACTCCGGGCTTGAAGATACTGCCCCATACTCTCGGTTGGCGCATGCGCTGCTGGTTCCATTTAGATAGTTGCCAATGCAGGTGCAACCGAACTATCGCAGCAGACCTGGGATCTAAGTAATCGGTGATTCTGATCTGCACCTCGACTGGCAATTCCTTCCAGAGCATGATTACTCGCGTGTGGTGCGTTGCGCTACAGCCCGAAGATAATATCGTCAATACAAAGATGCAAAGCACCAGAAGTCACAGCATTGACAATTTTTGACGGGTTTTGTATGTGAGAATCCTCACGGGAAGTTGTCGATGGACTCTCTGCGAGTCTACAATTTAGCAACCGGCCGGGTTTGAGGTCATGGATCTACAACTTTTGACCTAGGAACTCGAATCTGACGACCGAAATTCAAGGTCCAGGATCCCATGTCAAACGTCTTACGTCACATTTTAATCCACAATGTCCTTTTTCTCGCAGAACACACCTTTAGTATATAGAAAAAGGCAGTGCTCCAGAAAGATTCGGTCATCAACGACTAGCGCAGCTTCACCAATAAGCACAACATTGTTTATTAGACATATTTACCCTATTGTATTCTCTTTGCTACATGCGCGATGTCAGGGCTCCCGATTATTATTGCACTTCTCTGTTGTTCGTGGCATGCCCATGCTTTAGGACACGCGAGTGTAATCAATCGCTGCCCCTTCTCTGTGTTTCTTGCTTCGGTCCAAGCGACATCTCCATTTGTACTAGAATTGCCTCCGGGAGACACTTACGTCGAGACATACCGCCCTGTCGAAAACGGAACTGGTGTATCGATCAAAATTACGAGCGATATCTGCGTTGGCGAAATCTCGACCGATGTAGGCCGTGCAAACGCCTTTGCATCTAGCTCCAAGACACAGCTGGAGTATTCTTACGTGCCTTCGCAGCACCCTACGGATCTGTACTATGATCTGTCAGACATTAACGATGAATTTCCGAGGCAGTTTTGCGCCTATGGTGTTGCCCTGCATACCTCCGCCAGCGACTGTCCTGGTGTATTGTGCCCTTCTAGCTGTGACGACGTTTGTCCCAACGTCTATAACGACCCCAATGATAACCATGCTACTAAAGGATGCCGAAGTAGTGTGGATATAACCCTCGAACTCTGTGCTTATATCCGAAATCCCTAGAAGCGCTGATGACTAGAACACACCAAGCACAATTTGTAGGGAGCTCCATATACAACTTGATTTACGTTCCGTCGCACGAAGAAGATGCAAAGATTTTGTCTCGATATTCATATAAATAGTACAAAAAAGGTCAAACTATAATTACTACACTGCTCCCTTGAGATAAACCATCATTTACACTTTTTGAATGGGATAGTCTAGAGGTGTTTTCTGTATGGGTAGGGGGTAAGATTGCTCCTAAAAATGTTAGAGATTTAGGCCAGATGAAGGGGGCGGATAACATACAACTTGTTGATGAGATGGCGGGAACGTCGAATCCTGAGTTGAGCTATAGGTGTAGAAACGATATTTTCGCCGTACCACAATGTGGATATCTGCACCATAGCGTTGGCATATCAAGTTACCCTTTTTCATGTAATTGTCCATGACTCTTCTGAAGTTATCATTTGTCCTGTCTCTCTTTTGTAGGAGCTTATTTTCCTCTGCCATCGTGTTCTGACCTTAAGATAGTGACCAAAGTGTTCGCAGACCGCTGACCTATTGAAGCGTTTATTGTAGTAGGTTCTTGCAGGCTTATATACATGGGTCAGCGATGGGGGATGGTGGTGTTTTGTTGAGGATCTTGAAAACTAGATCCACGCTCTCAAATTGCAAGTTTTGGATCTCACAGTCACCAGACAAGATACTTTGAAATCACAGTTCTCTAAAAATAGGCAGAACTACTAGTATATGACTCCTGCCCTTCACATGGTTGCTTAGGGTCTCAAGTATGCAACGGCAATGTTTCTCGATCTGCTGCGTTCAGGAGCCTCAAGCAAGCGGGTTCATAATGTCTATCAGACAGAGCGATGTAACGAAAATATCAGTTAAACATACATTGCGAAAACAAAAACAAAAATCAACACTAGGTCCAAAAGACACTTCTACGCTCTACTGAAGACCATGCGACAAGCATAAACGGTAGAATGGACGACAAGTACTTGGCACTTAATCCTCTTAAATAAGATTTGATCAATTCTTATCCTAAAGCAACCAACCTCAAAGACAATTTGACTCTGCGTACCTCCGCCAGCGACTGTCCTGGTGTATTGTGCCCTTCTAGCTGTGACGACGTTTGTCCCAACGTCTATAACGACCCCAATGATAACCATGCTACTAAAGGATGCCGAAGTAGTGTGGATATAACCCTCGAACTCTGTGCTTATATCCGAAATCCCTAGAAGCGCTGATGACTAGAACACACCAAGCACAATTTTTAGGGAGCTCCATATACAACTTGATTTACGTTCCGTCGCACGAAGAAGATGCAAAGATTTTGTCTCGATATTCATATAAATAGTACAAAAAAGGTCAAACTATAATTACTACACTGCTCCCTTGAGATAAACCATCATTTACACTTTTTGAATGGGATAGTCTAGAGGTGTTTTCTGTATGGGTAGGGGGTAAGATTGCTCCTAAAAATGTTAGAGATTTAGGCCAGATGAAGGGGGCGGATAACATACAACTTGTTGATGAGATGGCGGGAACGTCGAATCCTGAGTTGAGCTATAGGTGTAGAAACGATATTTTCGCCGTACCACAATGTGGATATCTGCACCATAGCGTTGGCATATCAAGTTACCCTTTTTCATGTAATTGTCCATGACTCTTCTGAAGTTATCATTTGTCCTGTCTCTCTTTTGTAGGAGCTTATTTTCCTCTGCCATCGTGTTCTGACCTTAAGATAGTGACCAAAGTGTTCGCAGACCGCTGACCTATTGAAGCGTTTATTGTAGTAGGTTCTTGCAGGCTTATATACATGGGTCAGCGATGGGGGATGGTGGTGTTTTGTTGAGGATCTTGAAAACTAGATCCACGCTCTCAAATTGCAAGTTTTGGATCTCACAGTCACCAGACAAGATACTTTGAAATCACAGTTCTCTAAAAATAGGCAGAACTACTAGTATATGACTCCTGCCCTTCACATGGTTGCTTAGGGTCTCAAGTATGCAACGGCAATGTTTCTCGATCTGCTGCGTTCAGGAGCCTCAAGCAAGCGGGTTCATAATGTCTATCAGACAGAGCGATGTAACGAAAATATCAGTTAAACATACATTGCGAAAACAAAAACAAAAATCAACACTAGGTCCAAAAGACACTTCTACGCTCTACTGAAGACCATGCGACAAGCATAAACGGTAGAATGGACGACAAGTACTTGGCACTTAATCCTCTTAAATAAGATTTGATCAATTCTTATCCTAAAGCAACCAACCTCAAAGACAATTTGTTTCAAGCAGAATATTTCCATATTGCGTGACAAAGACAAACAAACAGTACATAAACTAAGAGCCATCAAGCATATAAGGGCCTACCACAAAGCTACAGTGCCACAGCAGCATTCACCAATATCTGATACAATATCAAACCAGAGTGAGATTCTAGGGGCTTGGCCAACCTACTGGTGGTTTATGGGGTCTCACGATTCGTAGAAATCCGTATCTGCTTTGTTAGCCTCCAGGCATTTGTCGGATTCCTTATCGAAAGAGCTTCTCAGCTCTAACATTCGGAGCTTCCACTTCCGAATAATCAAAACGACGGTTATTACATATAGAGTAGCGGTCATAGTAAAAGAAGAAACCCATTGAAAGGGTACGAGCTGGCTTCTCAGTTGCGCAACGCCAAGTGCTCCAGACAAAAAACTGAGAGAATATGTGATAATGCAGTCCTGTCTACGGTTAGTTCATACGACTTGTCACACGGACTGTAGTCACCAAACCTGATACGCCAATGCAAACAAAACCCCACAAGCGAATATGCCCCAGGTTGAAATTTGGCCGACTACACGGCATGCAGTGGATGTAGGGTCTGGAAGCATCATTGAGCCATTCCAATAGACCGCAACAATCGTCCATGCCAAAGGGCCAGACATGGTTGCTGTGCGGATCAATATCCAGCAGGGTGAGTGACGGAAATACAATATACATAGATTGAGAAGATTTAGTACCAGGAGAAGCTCAGCTGCAATGAAGAAGGAATTGACGAATAATAGGATAAATGCGGAATGAAAGACGTTGTTCAGGATGAACTGGCCCTGCATCACTCCAAGCCCCACAGGCGAGGTTTTGTACAGGTCGTAGACGATGTGAGCTGACTGGAAGACGAAGAGGCCGACCCTGTTTAAAAATGTAAGGTGATGGAGTCTTAAATTATGAAGGCTGTAGACAAACCAAAACATATCCCCAAGAATGTGGTCCAAAGTGAAGAGTGACGGGTGCAGGTAGTTCAGTTCCCATATTTTGTCGTGGAAGTAGACGGAGATAACTGCGGACGAGATCCAGGTGATCAATGTGACAACTTGTGCGAGGACCCTACTTTATGGGCAGTTGTCCACACAGGCTGATAACCTGTCCATTGAGGATATGATCAGTACCATGCATTTCAAGTGACAGAGACACTTACGCTTTTCAGCTTCCATGATATGATAGGTAGAAACGGCGTGGTACTGGAAGACTTAGATATGTGTACAGTATCGAATAACAAAATGACTACTGCAATAGAATAGATAAGTTGGAGTATTAATATGTTTTTACTGGATGCATTCATATATATGAATCTTTCAGACCGAGAAGCCTCCGTTAGGCACTGTTGGCCGAGGCGTCAAAGCAGGACGACACAAGGTAACCAATGGGCAACAGACCTAGCCGCCCACAGACAGTCAACAGCCTTCTCTGATGGCCCCTTCCAATTGAATGCCATGATCTCTCAAAGACGCACACATTTTGAAACCGTCCCTTCCTTTAAGGTTGGTTAAGGGGGTCTAGGCGCGCCGTTTAAGTTTTTCCACGTAAGACACCCATCACCAACATCTATTACAATACCAGATGCTTTATTTGCAAGTCAGATGCTACTAATTATGGAATCAACACCACACACCTCAGAAGTAGCTGTTCTGGTGCAGAGGGGAAACCACTGCGGCCGACTTTCACATTGATTTCGACCGAGGTTTATCTCCGACAGCCCCTGCAGCAACCATCCTGCTATTGCCACTCGAGCCTGAATCATGGGTGAGCTCCTCCTTGGGGGGGTCCCATGGAGTCCATGGGGTGGTTGGTGTTGTTGGTGGCTTTGGAGTCTTCGGACTGTCACCCCCCTCCCAGTCATCCTCATCCCAGTCAACAAGATGGTTCAAGCATGACAGCAGTAGATCATTATCACGTGCCAATCGCTTCACCTCAGACGCAACCTCATCTAATGCTACTTGCAAGTACCTCAGGTCGCCGTGCACAGCCTGCAAGGATGCGTGAGTTGCTTCCAAGTGCAGCCTACACCTGTTCAGTTGGGATCGGAACTCCGTCTCGTTCATTTTGGTCGATGCCATGGTTATGCTCGAACTTAACCCATACGAGAAGTGAAAACAAGGGGAATTTCCCCAGCTATTTATCTTCTCATGAGCCCCTTGCGGGATCCTAGTAAACGCAAATTTATTTACAAGCGAGCGGTGGTAAAATTAGCAATTGTGACCAGTCTCATTTGCTAGAGCGCATTCCAAAATCTTATGGCCAACAAGGTAGAACTATATTTATCAAATTCCCGATCAACTACACAAGGATACGTGGCAATTACGACTTTAAGAGCCTAGCTGATCGCCTCAGTTACTGTGGATGTGCTATGCCATTGTGTCTTTTTTTAGGTTTTCCTTCCTGCCAAGGAACTGTGGCAGGCCCTTCTGGCCCGGCGCTTACACAGACGGGCTCATTGATTCCTGAAATTCTATCGTAAGGCAAGGGGGTGACGACGCGGATTTCCACATCATCCGAGTCTGCTGTATTGTGGATGACCTTGGGGCCATGCGACGGATGAACTGAAACCGTGTGAGACGGGAGCGTACCTCCTTCAAGGGCGGCACTTGAAGGATCATCCTTGAAGACTGCGTACATGTCTTTGTCAACAGTAACGACAGTGTGAGAATCTGTATTCTTGGGCACCCAGACGGTATTCCAGATTTCTGGGAAGCATGTGTCGTGGAAAAAAGGCTGCACAACAAAACACATTTGCCAATGCAAGCCTTCCATGTTCGTACTACACTGCACAGGTCGTACTTTGTGATCATGAAGGCTCAACCATTTATCTATCGCGCCCGACTGGTTAGAACATCCCATGAAACAGTATTTAGGGTGCTCGAGGCATCGGAGCTGGATAAAGATGCCTTTAAGGGGCTCGTTATAAAGCGTGTTCACCTGGCAAGAGATCGTTATGTTGGACGGATAATAGTGAGTGGGTTGGGCTAAGTAAGCAGTAGAAGGGAACGCAAAGTCTTCCTGAATCTTCGCCTTGGCTCTTTGGCCTTTTATGTTACCGTAGCCTAAGGTCTTCTAAAGAACCGAACTCTTAGAATTCAGTTTCCTGTTTCCAGGTTTCAGTCTCCTTTATAGCTCAACTATACTAAGGTACGATCTTGTAGAGAGGAACTAAATTCCGCAAATTAGGAACTTGGACTGATTGTGACTTGCGCGTCCCACTAAAATGTATAAATCACCAGAGTTCTGTTGGTTTAGTGCTCCCTTCGCTCTTTGCTCTCACACACCACACACCCAAGCACGAAACCCACTCACTCTAGCCGAAAAACGCCATACGAAACTGACTATGGAGCTAGGCGAACTCCCACTAACACCGAAAGAAGCGGAGGAGAGCATTCTGAGTTTTACAAGAGCAGAGTTGACATGGGCTCAAATCTGCTGCCAATCGTGGGAGAGTGCGTATTACGCTGCACAGGCACAAATTGTCCAACTCCATGTAAAAGTTGCCTACTTAGAATTGGTCATCGCCGACTCAACTGAAGTCCGACCTGGAGCTCCCGAACCTTAGTGCGTAGCATTATGGCTGCCTGTTGTACTCGCCCTGTTTGCATCGTCCTGTTTGCGTCGTCTAATGAGTGCACACTGGTAGAGTTTTGATTAACAATTGCAGGGGGCATCTGTAAGCTGATTCGCTGAACCAGTCTGTCGGGACGGCCCGTACAAACACCGAAGTTGTCTCTTTCCCCCACACTGCCTGGGCGGGGTGGTGTGGCAGAATGATAGGGCTGTACTCTGGCTGAGCATGATCGTCCGAATGGCAATGCACTACCATGCTAGTACAAGGCGGATTTCACGCTGTAGGTGGGGCGCGCTACCAAAATCGGCGGCCTTCTTCCAATTGGTTAACGAGCCATCATGGGAACTGTCACTCGTAGTTTGGCCAGGGGGAAAAGAAACAGGGATGTCTAATGTAACTCCTCCGTCTGTGACTGAAAATTTTTTATTCCACCGTGTAGACCTTGCCGAAGTTCACTTATTGATAAGGGTTAGAATGCTCTGGTTGTTTGGCGCTACCGTTATGACAATCTTTGCCTAATTGGAAAGACCTGGCAGTTTTGAGGTGCTTGCAGCGAACGATAAGGCAACTCCATCTTGTGCAGGTTCTCACGTCGAGCCAGGATGAGTTTGCCCGGCATGAAGATCATGCACCGCGTCTATCTCTTTCGATGGCAAACCCGACCCCTGCAACACATACCTAAAGCTGCATTCTTATCACGCGGGCCTGGAGTACAAGGAATCAAGCGACTGCAACATGCCCATAGGGCTGTAGGGGCCAAGTTGGATGTGGCTAATTCCTCTGCCACAGCGTATCTCGTGTCCATATGGTAGTCAACAAATTTGCCCTTTGGCGCCGGAAATGGTTAACACGAATCACCCTATTGTAAGCACAGCATTTAGGGTTTCTCAAACACCGAAAGAGGAACAAAAAAGGCCAGTAAAGCAATGCCAGCGGAAAATGTGGCGAACGATCTGTCTGACGAATCGGAATGCTCTATAGCCGACCAAGAGCGGGCACCATGACACATAACCGTGCATATCGAGGCGTGAACGACTCGGGACTCATCACCGGTGGGGACAGTAGAACTGCCAGATACGGGAGCAGGTTCTTGAGGGGGTCAAAATGGACAAGTCGGCAGCGTCCAGGCCCACAAAACGATTGAAATATGGCAGAGTGTTGCCGCACAGCCTTCGGCCGATGGGAGGCTAGAGACGAATCAATCTAAGACGGCACGACCCCTAAGGCACAAAATGCGTTTCGTCACAAAGACTGGGACGCTTTTGGGGACTAGTCTCCTTGCTGCTAACCCACTTCCCACCAGCCTTGTCCCTACTCGTGCCATGACCCACTTTATTTGGAACTCGCGAACTCGGGGCATGGCACGAGTCATGATTAAGATCAAGGGGTTGCTTCGTGGGCGTTCTATGTGAGAAATCGTCTTCCGCAAGACCCGCTGCTATCGTCCCACACCCCGGAAGGCATCCCAGTCAGTCCCTCATCAGGTACCATGCACCTTAGCGGCGGCTATGGGATTATAGACTGCTTCAGGCAGCAGCGTGGCTACACCGGCAAGGTCGCATTTTTGGCTTCGCGTTGTACTTACGCGAGGGCAAGAATCGCAAGGATGTACTGAATTGGCCATGTCCACGATATGGGGCATACACCCTAAAAGAAGCGCTGGGGCTGGATGGCAACGACGTAGGACCAACAATACCTCAAAAGGTGCACGCAAGATGGATGGAGCTGAAAAAAATGAGATCTGGTGGCGTGGCTTGGTCTGGCTTGACGTAATGGCAATCTCTATTCGGAAACGTGGTCCTGGTGAGTTCGCACTTAGACAGCCGCCAGCCCCCACACCTCGCTTTACGACCAATACTATCGAAGAAACGCCAGGCATGGAAAAGCTTTGCTTGTATAGCATAGCTGGCTTAGCAAGGGTATGCTCCCGCGGAACTGCCAGGGAAGTGACGAAGCACTAACAGCCCGGCCATTAGTACCGCTGAGTTCAGTGCGCGAGGCTAAGCCTAGCACGCCACGCAGCACGTCAATCTTTAGCGCCGGGCACCCGTTAGTGAGAAGCGGTTCAACTTCCGAAGACATGGAGTGGGGCCCGCTATTCATTTTTATCGCGGCCCTTCTGGCGGTCCCCCTGTACTTTCCTTTTGTCCTCTTAAACGCGTTTTTACAGATGCCGGGCATCCTTGCCGCTGATCCACTACGTCTGCGGCCACATTCTGGATTTGCTTGTAGAGCAGTTATTTCCGGAGGCCCTACAAATGAGATTCGGTGACTAGTTCACTCGTATGAGTGGTTAATTTTCCGTAATTAATTCTTCAGTATATAGATTTTTGGGAACAAAAGAGAGAGAGCGTAGAGTGCAGGAAATAGTGAAGAACATGGAGGGACGCAACGAAACTTCAGAAAGCATATAGCAGAAATTAGTGGGACGACAGTGGAGTGGGCAAATAGCCAACGACCAAGCCTAGCCTGGTCCCATATGCTCAATTCACTTCCATGCGAGGCACGCTCAACGATACGTGGAGCCAGGGGGCATGGAGGCCGACTGAAGGTGGTGAGACTGCTTTGTAAATTAAAGCCTCCATTTTACGGTAACCGGCGCATCCTCGCCACGCGAAGAAAAGCCGAGTCATCCAGCCGAAGGGGTCTAATGAGCAGCAGTAAATAAACAATGCTGGTGACTACAACGGTGCTGAGAACTCATCACGTCTTTATTAATACAGAAAAGACCAACTTCTAAGCAACCTAGGGTTCTCCGGGAAATCAACCAGTCTTATTTACTCTATACGCAACCAGTCGATCTCAGTTCACTTGGGAATCAATCCATAGCATCTTTATTTCCATTCTCTCCTCTAATAATTCACACATAAACCATTCGTGAAATATTTTGAGAATGTGTTTCTT